GACAATAAGTTCACACAGTTAATTCAAAAAACGTTTTTGCACAATCAACTCATCGTCTCATAACCAATTCTCTTCTATGAAACTGTTTAAACTTTAACAGAGGAGGAGGTGAAAAACGGGATGGTGCAACAGCTAATAAGCTAAGATCGCTTCCTCCATTTTTGAGACTCTGGATCTCTATCCCTTTAAAGATCAACACTGTGAAGACGGCTTGCTACTTGCCATTGGCACAAATTAGTGGGTCAAAATTCATCAAAGTTAAACCCAAAGGGAAAAATTTGCACTGATTTACTTTGCCCACACAAGAGAATTGACTAAGCATGTCGATTCCATTTAAATGAATTGATTTTGGCATAAAATTTCGCTATTTTGAATGCTGGTTTGTATGATCAGGCTTCAAGACTTAGATTTAACTTATGCAGTTTAAATGCTGTTCTAAAAATTTTGGTCAGTACAGTTAAAACACAGGCAACTGTCTCCCTAAGGTGGACGTCAAAGCAGAGAGCAGAGAAATAAATGCAAACTGAAAGTATTGTGAAATACTTTGCATGCGAAAAGACACGCTAAACGTTTTTTCTCAAATGTCTCATTGCTCTAACAAGAAATCACATTGGTCAGGACTCATTGATCAACACATAGGGAGTGGGTTACAGTTACAGTTCGGCCAAAGCCTCCAGTCCAGTGCCATTGTGCACCTGTTTTAGCCCTGCTTTATAGTACAGTATCAGCATCCTTTGGTTTTCCACTGGTCTAATGAGCAGGTGGTTTCCAATTGTGTAGCACCGTTGGAAGTACAACAGAACAAAAACACTTTTAGAATCTGTAGTGTTGTGTGTGTGCCAAAGTAAAATGAGAAAGGGGAGAAACAGATTGCTGAGAGCGAGAAAGACAGAGGGGGAGAGAGTCTAATGAAGGTTATAGAGAAGGAGAAAGTAGGAAAAAGGAAGGAGAAGAAATGAGTTTGGGATGATAAAAGAGAAAAAGAGACAGAGGGATTGTCTAGGAGTCTCTCTGGATTTGCAGAATCCCCTTAGCCTCGAGTTTCGGGACAAAGTCACACTGACACACTTACTGCCTGGTGAGCTCTCCTTTCCGTCTTTCTCTCTTTCTTTCTTTCTTGCTTCTTTCACACTGGTAATGAGAACTGTAGGTGTTCACTGACTGCCACATACACACCATGGAGTGTTTAACAGTAAAGCAGGTGTGCTCACTGACACACATATGCACACAGTATTCTTGGACGTCTGCCACAGTGCCAGGACACCTAGAGTGCGATGCGGAAATAGGAGGAAACCCTAAGGGTCATTTTTATGTTAGTTCCAGCCAATCTCCTTGTAAACACCATGCCTTATAATACAATCATACATCTGCTGTTATGTTATGCCAAATGGAAATTGCCTGTGCTATAGCTGTTATAAAGCTTTAGATGCCAAATGTGAATTTTGAGAAACATGCTTTTGCGAGAGTTATATGAGAAGATTAGATACTGCAGTTATGTCTGTGCAGCAACCAGTTACCATATATGTTAGCATAGAGGACTGGAAACACAAGGGAAAGCTAAACTTTGCTTTTTGTACAGCTTCAATAAAACAAGATAGTGAGCTTTAGAGGTGCTGATTGGTAGATTTTGTTACCCTTGAACAAAGCCAGGCTAGCCTTTTCCCCTTTTCCAGTGTTTGTGCTAAGCTCCAGCTACATTTTTACTGTACAGACATGAGTGGTATTAGTCTTCTGATCTAACTTTAAGAAACCAATATGTCAAAGCTATGTGTTTAAATAACTAGATAATGGAAAATTGCTCAGGTTAACATGCTATACTTATTGCTTTGTTCTGCGCAGTTTATTCAGTTCAGCTCAACAATACAAAAGGAGCCGTGACCTTCTAAGGTTTCTTTTAATTGACATGGCTAATTTTCTTTCACTCCACCCAGGCAGACAACACAGACATCCACCGTCTCATTATAGCATGGGCGCATTTAGTCAGAGAGCGTAATGAGCTTGAGACTGCAGCAGTGTGAATAACGTTCATGAAAGCAGCGTCTAGCAGCAGTGAATGGTTGGGTAGGGATAATGTCCTACATTTTACAGAGCCCATGACCGGAAAACAGTCTGTCATTGTCATCATCAATAACAAAAAACTGACAAAAGCCTTACGGTCATTATTATTGCACACAGTAAAAGTTTATTTCTCACCACGGCTATAAATGTACACACTTTGGATGGTAGTATACGATAGCAGTATACAAAACTAACAAAGTATTCAACAGACCTGCTCAGTCTCATTATGCTGTATCCAGTTTCCCCACTGTCTGTAACTGTGTAAGATACTAAATGATGAATGAATCCTTGCTGCTGCTGCCTTCGTATTCGCCTGTACTCTACTCAACAACAGAGAAAACCCAGAGCACGTGTTTCCCCACAATCAGCTCCACACATATAACCATATCGCTGTTGTAAAAACCCTGTACCTGCATACACTTCACATTCATCTTCTTTAACAGATGAAATCTGTTAAAATACCAACAACAGTTTTCAAAAAGCAATAATTTTTCTCCTATTTCTAAAAGAATGGCATTTTTGAGATATATGTTTTTTCAGCACATTCACACTTCCTATCTAATCAACACATTCCAGCCAAGCCCTGTACAAGATGACAAGTTACACATTCAGTGTTTTACTGCTCATAATGACAATATGATCGTTTGTGGGGGTAATAACGACGAGTGTATGGCTTCTGTCTCTCAAAAATGCATCTAAAATAAATCAAGTATTTCTTACATTGCAGAAAATGTATGAATAAAAGGGCTAAAGGTCAATGAAACTATTCAACTCATAATGTCACCGAAGCTGAATCGGATTTTTACATGACAGAAGCAATGTGAAAATCGTCATTTCAGGTCAGAAGAAGAAAAAACAAAAAGTCCAGTTCTGACAAACAACAGAGAAGAAAACAGCAGAACACATTTGCTGGTTGTTCTTTGAACTGTAGCGTTTCTAGACAGTCGCAGGCAGAGGAGATGTGATGAATTCCCCTGGAGCCAGCGCGGGAAAAAGAGCTGAACTTGTTCTCACATCTCCTGCTGCTGAGGAGGAATAACTAGCTCCTCTCACTTTGATGGAGAAAGGAATGAACACACACTCACACACATACATACACACGCGCACACACACTGGAAATCTGCCTTACTGCTTTGTACATTTCTCTCATGTCCCTTTCCCATTTTTCTCCTGGTTTCCACATTCAACCTGTCTTTGTCCTCTGTTCCTTCTTGGTATTCCGTCTCACTTTCACCTTTCTTGCTCTTTAATTCTTTTCATCACTGCCTCTGCTGTCATTAACTTTATCACGCTGATCATTCCCATCATCAAACCTCCTCCCTCTCCTCCAAGTCTCACTTACCTGTGCAATCTCATACAGCAGTTTGTAGTGTTCCTCCCGTTTCTGCAAGGTGCACAAATTGCAGCCCATTCTAGTTGTCAGGGAAACAGTGCTGAGTGCCCGCTGGAGTGTGTGTGCTGTCTGCGGTGTGTGTGAGCTCCTCCTGGGGCGAAACACACTCGGGCTCCTCTTCCTTGGCTCCCCCAGACCTCTTTCTCATCCGTGTATCCTCAGAGATCCCTTCTAGTTGCTCCGAGCGCAGAAAACACACACACACACACACACACACACCACACGCACACACACCCACGTGTATCAACTCACTGCTATAGTAGAGGCTGTGGATGTAGTTCCTTCAGTCTGTGTGTTTGTGTGGAGTGTATCAGTGGTAAGATGAGTAAAAGCACCTTGCTTCTCTTTCCCTCTTGCCTGTCACTCCTTTCCCTGATTCTCACTTGCATGCCTACATACACTCACTCCTCTCTCCACCACCTCCTCTTCTCAGTGTGAGCACACACTCGTACGCACACACACTTTTGGCTCATGGAGACACACCTCCTCCTGTGGCAGGCTGCCTACACATGCCTGCTCCTACTCCAGCTCATGAATACACAGCGTTCTCATTGGCTGTTTAAGGAAAGGGGCTGGAAGCGGAGGGAGGAGACTGGTCTTATCTTGTGGCAGATTCAGTATCTGAACATCAGTGTTGTTGTTTGCAGGCGAGGTGAAGAACATGCTGCATGTGTGTTTGTGCTAGTGGCTGCATCTGTATTTGTATGCTCAAGAGTGCATCTGTTTGGTATCTATGTCTATACATTCCTCCAACATGCAAAATCCCACCTCCATTACATTTCAGTGAAAAAAAAATTCAATACAGCAAACTCCAAAGAGGAGTTAAAATGCCATCCCTACAGTTAATCAAGTTACTGAGAGGGCTGTTTGTCTGTGCACACCTTCGACAACTGGATTTGGCATAGAAATCAATCTCATTTGGATTCAATCAGATAGCCTTTTGCACTCAGTACAATGGTTGGATGAGTGGTGTTTAGTCACTGCCATAGATTTACAGTCAGAGCGCGATAGTCACCAAACAGATGCTCTCTCTCTCTCTCTGCCGGCAGTTAGACAAGGGCACCGGACCGGGCTGACACACACAGGAAGAAACACAGACTTGTATTGATTGGCTTCAAATTAGCTTCCAGCCCAACTGGCCTCTCTCTAGGAGGGTGAGGGGACAGAGGGGGAGTGAAATAAAGAGAAGGTGATGGAAAGAAGATGGAAGAGATGCAGTAAAGATAAACTGAAAGAGCAGTGATGGTATTACAAACCTGTCATAGTAGATTGTATGTAGTAGTATGCTAATTTGCCCCAGGAAATATGTTTAGACAGACACATAGTGCTGCCCAGATTACAATTTAATGAGGAAAAGATGTAAATTAACATTTTTATGATTATCCACTAACAGCACTTGGTTTGGGAAAGGTTCTGGTCTTGGTTTAATATTGAAAAAGTCAACAGTGACTTGAAGAATCTGACACAATTTAAAGTCGAAGTGAAATTGGGACTTTCCACACATTTTAAGGTAATCTAAAATGATACTGCATAATTGTGTGTAAGGTTCCATATTTCAAAAGAAGATAATATCATTTTTGGAATGTGGAAACATTATCAAAGCTTCACAGGTGTTTACTATGGCAGTATTTGACTGAAAACAGCAGTGATATTGTTGCACAGTATTCATAAAATAAGCACTATATGGGCTTGTTGTAAGTACCATTAGTGAAAGTGGAAGCTAGCAAGGCTAACGACTAGCTTCCACTCTGACCTAGCTTGCCAACATTAGCACTAATTCCCGCAGACATTACTGTTGGTTCATGTTGTTTGCAATACCCGCTAAGTACACATGGCTAAATACACCCCAAAAGATATGCTGTTTTTTTAGGAAAAAAATATTGGAACCGGAAGGTGAGGCGAGAGGCTTGTAATCTGAAGCTTACTGCTATGCTAAACTAAATCCTACACACTGGTCCTTTAACCAAAATTTTAACCCTAATCAGAGTGCTTTGTAGCTTAAACCTAACTACAAAGGACGTGAACCCTGATCATCAGTGTCAGTCCTGTAGCCTACTTTGTACGCCTGCCATCCAACTAACCACCTCCATCAAATAATTAGTACACATTTCTAGGAGACAGGGTTAAATGTCAATACACTTATACAGTATAAATTAACATAGTAGCCCTTTCTGTGTTACCCAAGGACATACATATCATGTTTGTGTTCTGTCTCCAGTCAAATAGAAAAGAACATATCAAATTGAAACTGCCGTTACAGAACAACATATTACTTTGTCCTGAGGGAAGTTCAGTGTACATTTTGCAATGACAGCCTTCAGCATCACATTGGGAAGAATGAAACTCACTCTTAAACTTAAACGTCAGTGTTGTCTAGTATGAGTTTGGGTCATTCTTTTCTTTACAAGAGGTCAGTACAGTTCATAATGTAGCATAATTGATTTTACAGTTAAATGCAAAGATTGCATTGACAGTATAAAATCTGTTATTGCAAACTGTAAACTTCCAGCCAAGGGGCTACAGGATACACTCCGTCTGCATGACGAATAGTTGTCACTGCTAAGACTATGCGCAAGAGCACAGATGCGTCATCCTTCTTATCACCAGTCATGCAGGTACAAGGACCATAGTGGTTCAGTCAAGGGCGGCAGAGCAGATCCAGATACAGCCCCCCAGATAACACTTAACCCTTTCTCTCCATCCACTCTTGTCCCATTCTGATGAGGTCACCGCTTTCTCCGCTGACCTCTGAAGGTGACTTCTCAGGGGTGACATCACCACCTAACGAACTTTAGGGTTCTTCTATTTCTTCTATTTTCTTTTGTTCTTTTTTATATTTTCTTCTATCAGCCTCTCCCACTCTATTCCAGTGCTGATCTTTGCAGTCTGAGTATGGGATTAGCAATACTACCAGACTCTGGTTAAACTGCCACTGTGATCATCCATAAGCTCAGATTTGCTGACGGACTCACATACAGAGAGCTAAACGTGTGTCCAGGACACCCAAACACACACAGTCCGATATACACAATGAAAACGTGAAATTTTCCATCTCATTCCTGCACTTTTTATTGAAAGGACAGTAAATCTGAGATGCATGACGTTTCTCCTGAAGGTGACATCATCATTGTGGTCCTTTATGGCCTATCACCATCCTTTTTATTGTTCATATCACCCACATTCCATCATCTCTACAATTTCTCTCCTCCATTTCATCATCTACTTCTATTGCCCTTTGTGTACATGAGACAGTGGCCAGATGTCTGGCTCATGTTCTCATATAAAATTGAAGAGGAGACTCGTATACCTTTAAGAGATGTGGGATTTTAACCATACAGATCAGAAATCATATGCGGAATATTGCACAAACAAAATGCCTGCTTCACCGTCTTTGATGTCTGACAACTGGACTGGCAATACAGCAGCAGAGTGGTGTCATGCCTGTAAAGTTGCATGTTCAAAAAATCCTTAGACAAGTAGTTAACTTTAGTGCGAGGAGGGCTGAGGTGGGTTCAAACAGCTATACTGGTCATTTCATATTTTATGGTAAAGTCCGTCAGTGTGATCAGCCAGTCAGTCAAAGGTTAACCAAAAATAGCTTGCTGCAGGGGGAAAGTGTTGCACTTCAAAGGCAGCCTGAAACGCCACATTAGCATAATGTCCTATATGCCTGTGAATGAAAGAAAATTGGCCACTTCGCACGATCCTCTCTGCAAATAGAAACTTGTTAGGTAAGCTCTGAACCATTTCAGCATTGACTTTACAGTAAATCAGAGTATAAACTTTTGAAAAGAAAATTCTCAGAGTTGTAGGTATGGCAGGTAATTACTCCTGCGTGAATCCCACACCGAGATGTTCAAAGGCCACAGTATCCTTGACGACAGACGGAGCACTGCGTCATGGGTAGAGAGCTGATCTAATCAGGAACGATGATCACGCATTCGGTCTGTGCTCAAAGGCCTGCCCTCTGCAGAATACCAACAAACTGCTATTCAATAAGTTACCAGTGCAAACTTTTCTCTCTCTCGCTCTCTCTCTCTTACAAAGTTGCCTTGAAGCACATCAGCATAGACACATCCCGGACACAACGGAGAGGCACATCTTTAACGTTAAAACACCTCCAGGACTCATCTTAAGATCTTGGTTTTATGATGATCTGAGAGTGTCCTTCATGCAATGTCATTTATGCCTCTTAAGGATGACAGATGTTCAAAACAGCACCAGATTCTCTTTCAAAGAAATCGGAGACCGAGCTGTGAGGCTTGCAGCACATTTGTTTTGACCAAAGTAGGAAAATGTGCTAATCGGTTCCGATGTCAGTTTTGAATTAGCAGCTTAGCCTTTGTCAAAATCAATTAATTCTCAACCACCTGTGGCTGAAAAAGTTTCCTTTTTAAAGTGACTTTTAGACGTCACGCCATGTGTGGAAAGATCAATACAAAACAGCAGCATTTCTGGTAGCGTAGACAGCTGGGCGTCTCAAAGCCAATGGCGTGAGAAGAGCCTGAGGGCGACCCACACACAGCTCTCAATAGCCATAACCCATACATTATTTAACACTCTGAACCATTCACAGGTAAAAACACGATTAGAGTGCTACTTACAGCACGGAGCTAAAGGCCGAGGGGAAATGATGGTACGTGATGGTAATTGAAAAGCGGCGTCCTTTTCTGTTTTTTGTTCTGGTAATTACATTGTAACTATTCATTATTGTCTAATTACTTTGCAGGAGGCCAGCGTTCAGATCCAATCCTCATAATGACTATCTCTCCTCCACTCATTGTCTCCTGATCCTGATTGTTGAAGCAAAATGACTGACTCTGTAAAAAAAAAAAGAGCCCGAGTGACTCCAGTCATTTAATTATCAAATTATGAGCAGAGTTATAAGAGACACAAAAGGCGGTCAGCACACAAAAGTAAGGAAAAGACAAAACAACTAAATTGGGATTCATTTAACTAAACACAGAGGGACCTTTTGTTCATAATTTGAAGACTGCCAGTTGGGCAAAAATCATTCATTAGTGAATTGTTGTAGAAACAGTGTGTTTTTAGTGTCCAATCTTAGTTATGTCCCCTTTGAGCAGCCAGGCAAAGCGAGGCATGCACACAAATTCACACATATACACAAACAGACAAAATGTGTGATAATGAA